TTCTGCATGTAGCAGTCTTTATCAATTTCATGGTCATTTAAGTTTGAACCCATTCTTTTCTCCTTTTCTCCCCATGTTTTAGGCTTATGTTATTACATTTTATATCCTTTTTTGTGAGTTCCTTGACTGATTTTTTACAGAAATATTCATTTTCATTGCTTTGGTGTTTCCTACCTCTCTTCTCTATATTTAGTTGTAGAGTTTGTTCCTCCCATTTTTAGATTGCTCTCTGATTTATTGACTTGGGACTAGTCAAGTTGAAAACATGGGACGGGGTGAGCTCAGGGTCCTCCTACTCCACCATCTTCCCAGGCTCCTTGCTTGCTTTGTTTTTGTTTTATGTTTTATGTTTTTAAGTGTCTTAATCCTCCAAGGATAAATAATGTTAATGTTCTCTCCCAGAGAAGTGTATTCTTCTCTTCAATTCATTACTATTAAACACTTCTGAATCTTTTACTGTGCTAGGTCCTGGGAATTCAAAGATAAATAACACTTCTTTTTTGAGAGAGGACTTCCTCTCTCAATTGAGGGCTTAAGAGTCTGATGAATCAGGTCACCATATTAGCTGATATGGAATAATAAAAAGGAAACTCAAAAGAATCCAACCCAGCTACAGAAGGGAGAGGGGCTTTGATCTGAGTCACTGAGTCTTAAAGGATAATAAATATTTAGTTGAAGGCAGAGAGGGAAGAAGAAAAGTGGGGAAGGTGGCAATGAGCTCCACTGGGTGAGGCTTTCAAGCAAAAGGGATGGTTTGAGGAAGAAGATGTACAGCTCAAACAGTATAATGCTGTTGGGGCATAAAGTGAGGCATGAAGTGTCAGGACAAGAGAAACTAGCTTGGAGCTCGGTGGAGTCCAGATCGTGGGAGACTTCCTGTCCATACTATGGTAGAGCGGTATGATCAAATATCTGCCTTAGCTAGTCCTCTCTGGGAGAAGGAAGAAGATGAACTTCAGGGAAACAAGTCTAAATAGCGAGACAGGTAGTAAACTGTACTGGTAGTCTGTGGAGGAAAAACACAAATGATTGAAACTGCAGCATGGACAAAGAAGAGGAATCGTTTATGAGAAAAATTAGTGATTATAATAGGTAGGGGCTTGATAACTGATAGATAATTGGATAATTGATAGATGAGAAGAGAGAATAAGGAAGATGAACGAGTCCAAGTGACGTCAATCAGAAGAGATCTTCCACAAACCTCCACCCCCTTATCTGTACCCACGAATTCTGTCTGTCTTCCTATCATCGTAGGTGAACATATGTGTATCTAAGGTCTCTCTCTCCATCTGTGAACTGGATCCCCACCTGCTTTCCTACTTAAGAAACTACTCCTGAAACTCACCCCACCTTCTCCCGCATCATCAGTTTTTCCCTGTCTACTGGATCATCAGAGAAATCTGCAGTTCTCTCCCTTACCGAAGACAAAAACAGGAAAAACCCTCTCGTGACCCCCACTACCCCTGTAGCTTCTATCCTCACATCTCCAGCTCTCCTCCTGCTGTCCCCCATCCCTCCCAGCCTGCTTTGGCCACCACCCGTCACTAGCACTGCCACCCAGTGTGACCCGTGCCCTCCGACCGCCGCGCCCATTGCTCGGTCCTCAGGACTCACCCTAGTTGATCTGGGTGACCAGAACTACACAGCTGATCATACTCTCTTACTTGAAATAGTTTCTTCATCTGGCTTCCAGGATATCACACACTCTTACTTTTCCTGCTACCTCATGATATCTTACCATAAACCAGGTGAAAAAGACAGGTGGCTGACATGTTTGTTTATGGCATCTTTAAATATAGATTCTTTTACTGGTGGTGAAATATACATAATGAAACATAGCAAACATTTTTGGATGTATACATTGTAGCCAATGCAATGGGGCAGGGCCCTTAAAATGAATGAAAAGATGCCTGTAAGAAGGAATCCCGGGGGGTCAGCCACCAAGTTCAGGTTGAATAGGGGAGGAGTAGTCAGGAGAGAGCTGCTGCTGAGGAAAACAGAGACCAAGAGACTGGAAATTTCTATGGACCCATCTCAAAACCTAATATTGAGTGGGGAAAAAAGTTGCCAAAAGATATTTACAGTGTAATATCCTGTATGTATATTTGCAAACTCATAAAGCAATACTATATGTGATTTATGGATATGTTTATGGATAAGTAAAGTATAAAACCTGGATGGAAATAATATGTAAGAGTTTTCACATTATTCTCTGTGTTTTTCTGACTATTTGAAACATTTCCTTATTAAAATAAAATAAGCTATAGGAGCCAGGTCCACGAAGAAAACTAGGGCAGTAGGATCAAAGACCCAGGTGGCAATGTTAAAAGAAGAAGGAGAATTCATCCTCTGAGACTTGGAAGGAGGTGGGAAGTAAAACTAAATGTGGGAAGTGACTGGAAACAGAGGAGTGCAGGAGCTGAGAGAAGTCATGTCTGACAGCCTCATTTTACTTACAAGAAACAGAAAGGGCCACGTGTACACTGGGAGCACCGAGGGGTTGAGGAGAGGCTTTGAGGAGGGTGTCAGGGTCACTGGGGGTAATATGAAAAAGGCTGACCAAGGACCGGCAGAAAGATTATCAGACAATACCAAAGGCACAATTGACTTAAGACACTGCGAGCAGGCCCAGTGCCGCATATTTGAATTTCTCAAGTAGCCTGTGCATGAATGCGGAAGGCATGGTGTGACATCCAAGGCTGGGGCGAGATGTTGGAAGCAGGGCGAGAGCAACTGAGTGAATCCAGGATGCAGGGCAGGGAGGGAACTGCCCCTAGGAGGAAAGTGCAGAAAGGCAGGCCTGGATGTGTGATGAGGCCAAGGGGCGGATGAGAGGCTGTGGGGGTGGAGGAGGTGGGGTCATAGAGCAGCAACAACACTCTGGGCCATGTGGCCACACTCGTCTTTCTTGGGGTAACTTATGTATGTCTCTGCCACCGGGTGTCATTTGATAAGGCATATTGCTTCCAATTCTCCTGCGGTAATTAACCCAGCTATTAAAGCATCACAAAACAGAAAGTAAGAGACATGGTTAATACACTGGGTTGAGTGGTCCCACGGGACTGAAAACATATGTGTCGATGGATTAATAGCGGAACTGTCACAATGGAGAAGTTAACAAATTATAGGGAAGTTAGTTGCCCACTAGTGACATTTCTGAATTTCTCAGGTCTCACTGGTATCATATCCTCTTAATGAACATTAATGAAAATAAGCCATGCTTACACGGGCAAATATTTTTGTCCCATATTCTCCATGAAATAATAAAGCATTATCCAAAGATTATAAACCCAGAAGTATGGGTCATGTAATTATCCTTATTGCCACTAGATGACACTATAGCTTATTGCTTTTGTGTCAACAACGTCCACTCCCAGTTCAAGGAAGATCTTTTTTAAAATTTAAATAAAACATATGGCTTTACAACTAGTTCTTAATAATTCAAGAATCTGATGGCTTTTGGAAGATGCAGGCAAAAATGTTGCACCTTCCAAAGCTCCTAGAATGAGAGCTTTGCTAAAGCCTGGCCCAAATCTCCAAAACTGCATACAAAATTGAGTGTGTCACACACGTGTGTGCATTTTCTTGTGGGAGGAACTTTAGAGTTTAGAGTTCTCTATGACCCTCTTCCTGTGCCAAGAAAGAAGTCGACCACCATGACTCTAACCCCTGGTTACTCACATCTGAGTTCATGTCTTTAAGGCTCCTAAAAATGAATTCAGATGGAAATAAAATAGCTTCTCAGGTACCACTTTCTGGTGTGTACAGATTTCCTGCCCAATCTGTAAATCGGACAAGAGCTGGTTTTTATAAGCAGAAATGGATGGCGCCAAGTTGTAGCAGATACGGAGAGCCAGGGGGAGCAACTGCGATGTCAGGCAGAAATGTGGGCCGTGAGTAAGGAAACACCACGGTCAAAGACCCATGATCTTATGGAGAGACACAGAGAGTATGGGGAGCAAGAGAATGCACCCGACCCTGGGGCAACAGTCCAAGAGTCGGAGCCCAGGAGCCAGTGCCTGAGACCAAAGTCCTAAGTGAAATTTCCATCCACAGCAGGGTGGGGACAGTCCCACTCAGAAAAACGGGCAATGACAGATGGAAAAAAGAGGACATGACCGTGTTTAAAACAGTTGTAAGCTCTGGTAATGCACAGGTGTAACTTTACCACTAACTGAACTTTAGCTTTGGTCTCAAACCCCTATTTTCATATGGTAGCAAGAAGAAAAAACAGATCTTAACAATTTGAAGTAGCATCTCTTTTGAAACACACTGAGTTTGGGGTGAATAAGCTCAATGGGGTTTCTGTCTCCCGTGCCGGCATCTGGGGAGTGGGCCCCCAGTCCCTGTAGGACCGCCTGCGGGGGTGCTGCTGTGGGTGAAAGTCATCACGAGTTGTCTGGGCGTGGGCTGCGCGGGACTGTGGCTCCCAGGAACCGGTGACCGCTTCTGCTTCTTGGGCCCCACCTCAGCTCTCCCTGCTGCTGCCAACCCCCTGACACTCAGCCCCGTCTTCCAGCCGGGTCCCCGGGGAGCTCTGGAGCATCTCTGTTCTCAGCACAGTGAGCCCGTGAGACGCAACAGTCACCCCATGAATATTTGTTGATCAGATGACACCAGGGGCCCCTTGCTGTGCCCTTCCTCCTTCCTCAGTTCTTTCTCCCTGCTCCCAGCCGATTCGGCAGGGCCCCCACTCCCCTCACCTCCTCAACACGCGGTTCCTGTCAAAGTGAACAGCATTTACGCTTCCAACTGTGAAAAAGGTGAACATTTCCTGCTTTATTACTAGGAGGTTGATTTCGAGAGCTGAAGGAAACCTATACAATGGCACTGTTGTGATTTCACAGAGAAGTGACAATATTGAGGCTTCGAGAACATTAAGCCACTTCACGAGGTCGCAGCACTGTTCAGAGAAGCCCGTCAGATGGGGGGGGGGGCTGCAACTCTCAACCTCTCTTCGGCTCTAACCAATTATTGTTGTGTTGGCTTATCTCGCTCAGATACAATGACAATGGCTACGTGGAAGACGTGGAAGTAAATTTCATCGTGTGGGAAATACACGGCAGGAAGGACTACAGCTTTAATAATACCATGAAGAAGGTACGGCATCTTTGAAATGAAATAGAACTTAGCATGCAGTGACACCTGCGGCTCTGTTTTAAATCTATATATAAATTATCTAAGGAAAATAGAACAGTTACATGTGGGTAGAAAAAAAAATATGACCTGTGTATTACATTTTGTGACTACTGAAATTCATTGGTGACAAGCGAAGCCTTGGTCATCAGAAAAGTAAAATAATGTTTAGGGTGACGCAATTATAGGTGAATATTTTCTTTTTTTGCCACAGTGTATTCTGTGTTTGATTATTTATGGATCTGCCTTTGGCTCTCACACATTCATCATGCTGGTGCTACATTAAGGGCACACTCCCTAGGCTTCATCTCACTTGACTTCCTTGCGTCATTTGACCCACTGACCTTAGCTTCACTGTCCCCACACTCTCCTGGTTTCTTCCGTCCTCTGACGGGTCGAGCTCAGCCTCCTTGCTGACAGCACTTTCTACTTTGCAGAGCCTCTCCACAAACAGCATTGATTCCTACTTTTCCTCAGAAATCTCATGCTCAAACAAAGTCAGAGGGATAACTCCTTCCAAAGGAGCTTTCTCATCTATCAGACACCTTAATTCTCCCAGAAGGAGAACCCACCCAGATAGCAGCCAGGAGACAACGAATTCCACCTGCTACCTGCTCAGGATGTTGCAAGAACTGTCTTTCAATTCTGTGGCCAAATAAATCCATCCACCACATTCCTCCTACACTTGTCCAGCCCCCGAAGCGTACATCCTTCAGGCCTACTCTCTCCTCACAATCTCATGCTTACTCTGTCCTCCTTCCACCTGGGCCCAGATCCCCATTACTCTCCACTGTCTCGAACTTTTCTAATATACCTTAGGGCTAAATGACTCTAGACACTTCAGCAAACATTTCTCCAAGAATATAATTTTCCATGTTTTTCTCTCAGACCAGGGGTACTCTTGATGAGCTCTGGAATTAAAGTGCTCCCTGACCCACGGTGTCATTTCCAGATCAGTATCTCCTCACCCTAAGCACAGTGTCCTTTGTTTGAGGCCCCTGTCATCCAGGCGTCATGTACCCCATCCCCACCTGTTGCTCTCTCATACTGAGAACTTGATGGGTTCTCCTCCTGCCCTGAAAGCAATGACAATTGACTCCTGAGTTCTGCTAGCCATCACGTAGGGCTGTTGCTGGGAAGACACTTTCTAAACAGGAAGGGCATTTCCTGGCCCCGTGTGCATCTAGGTGAGGCCGTGTGACTGGCTCTCATGCTGTGGAATGAGCAGAAGCGATAGGCGTCACTTCCAGGATGAGGTGTTGAGAAGGGCTCACATGAACCTCCGTGCTTCCTAGCTTCCTCCACAGTCGGTCTATTACAGCAACAATGATGGAGAGATGCAAGTCGGATGAGAAGAGTCCGGTGAGGGTATTCTTCAAGGAGCCACTAGAGAGAAAAGTCTAATCCACTGCTCTGCAGAGAGTCCATCCATGGGAACCATCTCCCCAGGGGCATCTGCACTGGGGTACGTGTGATTAGGAATTCAACTGCAACGCGTAAAGGCTCTGAGGGCTGGGGTTTACTGCAGCACAGCAGAGACTGCCTTGACCAATGCAGCTTCCCCTGTTATAATTACATTTAAATTCAAACACTTTGGTCTCTGACCTCAACCCCCAATTCTCTAGCTCTGTTGGTGTTATTCCACTATGCCTCTGCCCCTTGCTTTTCCTCACACTGTCTGTCTAAACATCCACCATATGGAGCCCTCTGCTCTCTCTCTCTCTCTCTGCCACCGTCTTGCCAATATGTGCAAGTCACCTTCCCCAGTGTTGTTCCTGTGCACCCTGTGGCAACTTTAAACATCAATCGTTCTACCTTATCCATGCCTCTGTCTGAGCTGCCAATCACTTCTAGAAAAAAACAAATCAAAATTGTAATAACGGGAATTAGGAACTCAACTATTGGGAGTGATGGCTGAAGACAGAATTGGTCAACTGGAAGAGGGGTCAGAAGGAAATGCCCAGAATTATGCATAGGGAGATAAGCTGATTGAAAATAGAGACAAGAACATAATGGAGATTCACTGCCTAGATATGAGGACTAGAGTCCTAAAAAGAGAGGAGAGAGTGTGTTTGCCAGAAGCAATATTTTCCCAAAAGGCAAAAGACATCGAGGCACAGAAAAAGTAATCTGCATCTAGAAACACTACAGTTAAAGTTCTAAAATGAAAAACAAAGAGAAGAACCTTAAAGGTAGCCAAAGGAAAAAAGAAAAGTTACTCTCAAGAGAGTAGTTATAAGACTTAAGGCTGACTTCTCTATAGAAATAATGCAAACCAGAAAACTTTGAACAAAAATATCTTTCTTCTCCCTCCCTCTTTTTTAGCAGGGAAGGGCAGAGTGAGAGGGAGAGAGAGAGAATCTGAAGCAGTCTCAATGCCCAGCATGGAGCCCAACACAGGGCTCGATCTCACAACCCTGAGATCATGATCTAAGCCGAAATCAAGAGTCGGACGCTTAACCCACTGAGCCACCCAGGCGTTCCTGAACAAAAATATCTTTACTGATACTACTGAAAGAAAATAAAGTCCAAATCTAACATTCTATATGCAATGAAAACAGCCCTTAAAAAATGAAAATGAACAATGGATAATGCTTTAAAAGACACATGCAATTAGAAGAGGAAAAATTTTAAAGTGAAAAGAAACAATGGGATAAAAAAGATTTAATACCAAAGATGGGCAAAGAAGCTCCAATAGACGGGTAAATGGACATCCTGAAAGAGAAAACCAGAACAAAGGAACAAAACCAAGCTAATCATTCAAGAAAACATGTCTACCCCACCCCAGAAAAAAAGACTTGAAGTTCCATATTTAAAGAGCATATACTCAAGAATGTGAAATCAGAACAGCCAACCCAAGCAGCCATCTAGGCAAACAAAGCAAGCAATTTACATATAAGGAAAATAAAATTAAATTATAATTTTTATAGCAATGCTTTATGCCAGGAAAAAAATGGAGTAAAATATTCAAGATACTAAAGGAAAATAAACACGAGCCAAGGATTTTATATTCAGCAAAACTGATGACTCTAGAAAAGGCACAAACTGCTATTAACGTGTAAAAAGCTCAGATGATATTGTTCCCATGAGCCCTTCCTGAGTAACTTACTAAATAATAAACCTTCAAACCACCAAAATCACTAAAGAGATATCAACATAAGAACTAGAGGAAAGCATAATGTAGTATAGAGTTACTTGCAAAACTGAAGCAAAGTGAGTATTAAAGGGGAAAGAGGATAGTATATAATGGATGTATTCTCTAACAATATAGATACAATACAATTATAAAATATGCTAGGAGAATATGAAAGCATACGCCAGGGGAAAAATATAACTTTTCAGTAATCATGATAGTAGGGGTAATATTTGTATTAGTTATTCTGGTCTTCTGAGGTGTGTAAAGTGAGATATTCTAATTCTTCACCAAGTGTTTTTGGCATAAAAGCAAGGAGATACATATGTAATATAGAAGAAGTTAGACAAAATATCCTGAATTTGAATAAGATTCAGTGTAAACTCATGAGGTATTGGAAACTCATGTGATCTGGATAAAAGTATATAAATATATTGTTCAGAGAGAGAGAGATAAATTTTTCCTACACTGTCCATTAAAATCCCTAGAAACATAACTAATCAGTAGCGGTAAATATCCTTAATACCCAGTCGGTTGTCTTGAAATATAATTTCCCACTAAAAATAACTGGGGATTCTTAGATAAATAGTGGATTCCAAGCCTGGGGGAGGAAACGGACATGATGAGTTTGGAATAGTTTGACATTCCCATTAGCAAGGAATAACCAAAGACTGCTAGGGTCATGTCAAAAGTAATCGGAAGTCAAATTGAAGAGGTTGGCCAAAGATGGGACAATTAGAGCTTCCTTATGGATAGTTATCGCAATATTGCTAAAACCCGTTGAATATGTTAAACCTGTGAGTTCATAATGATTTTTTCAAGAAATCACCTTCGGAGAATGATAGGGAACCAACTCCTTATTTAAAAAAATGGCAAGAAATGAGAAAGACACCTATATTTATCCTACCGTCCCCAAATGAACTATACCAGTGGATAACCAAATAGTGGATAAGGGGAAGCATCTCTTTATAACATGTTTCTAGTTGACAAATGGAAAAAAAAGAGCATATCATCATTTTAAGCCCAAATAATAGAGGTTACTATAAACAAATTTATATCAACAAATTTTGACAATGAAGAAACAGATAAAATAGCAAATGCCTTGAAAAACACAAATTACCGAAGTTTCTTATATTCTAAGAAAGAAATGTCTGACATCTCTAATCCCAGATGGCTTTCCTAATGAAGTGTACCAAACATTTAAGAAAATTTTCCTTCAGTTTTCTAAAAACTCTTCCAGAGTTTTAGGGTGGAGAGAGCACTTCCCAATTCATTTTGTGAATCCAGGAGGACCCGAGGAGGACCTTAAAAGAAAAAGGAATTATGAGCCAATTTCACCCATGACCACAAATACAAAGCACCTAACCAAAATGCTAACAAATCAAACTCAGCAGTATATTTAAAAATCACACATCCAGACAAGTTTTGTTTATTTCATAAATAGAGTTGGAATATCATTTGAAAATCAAAGAAATCCACTATAGTAATAGAATAAAGAAGAATAAGCATGGATTATTATAATAGTTGAAAAGTCATTCAATTAAAAAATTATTCATGCATAACATTATTTTTAAAATAAATCTTGGAGGGACACCTGGGTGGCTCAGTCAGTTAAGCATCTGCCTTCGGCTCAGGTCACGTTCCCAGGGTCCTGGGATCCAGCACCCCATCGCATCAGGCTCCTTGCTCAGCGGGGAGCCTGCTTCTCCCTCTGCCTGCCACTCCCCCTGCTTGTGCTTGCTTGCGCTCTCTTTCTCTCTGACAAATAAATAAAAATCTTTAAAAAAAATAATATAAAATAAATCTTGGAATTCTCAGGGTCATGAGTTTAAGCCCCACATTGGGTATGAAGCCTACTTAAAAAAAAAAAGAATAACCCCCAAAATAAGTATATCGTAACTTCCTTAACCTAATAAAATGTAAGTACAAAAAAACAAACAAGAACAAAAACAAAAACCTTAGAAAACATCTTACTTAGTGGTGAAAATTTGAAAGCTTTCTCTCTGAAGTCAGGAGTAAAACAAGGGTGCCAGTTATCACCATTTCTATACAACATTGTTTCTGATCTCTGTAATAAGGCAAACAATAAACAATAAAAATAAATTAAAAGTATACGGATTGGAAAGGAAGCAATAAGACTGTCATACTCACAAGTAACATGACTTCATGTGAAACACTTAAACTTAGTGAGTTTAAGAAGTTCTTTTCGTACAAGGTTAATATACAAATGTCAATTGTTCCCCCGTGTATCAGCAAATATTTAAATAATGAAAAGAATTAAATATATATTTTTCAATGGTATTAAATATATTAAATACTTATGAATAAATTTATATACAAACATATGTGTGTACAATTTTTATTACATTTTTATTTTAACTACAGTTAGTTAACATACAGCATAATATTAGTCTCAGGTGTACGATACAGTGATTCAAAACTTCCATACATCCCCTGGTGCTCATCACAAGTGCCCTCCTTAATCTGCATCACCCACCTAACCCATTCACCCTACCCACCTCCATTCTGGCAACCATCAGTTTGTCCTCTATAGTTAAGAGTCTGCTTCTAGGCTTGTCTCTCTCTCTTTTTTTTTTCCTTTGCTCACTTGTTTCTTAAATTCCTATATGTACAATTTTTTGACAGAGTGGTTGTTTAAATGAAGCCCAGACGTGGAAGTCAATGACTAAGCTTAACCAGCACCTCCCACTAGAAGAAGCCTGGGGACCTGAAGTAAGGAAAATATTACCTACCAGATTTTATTTATAATAACTAATTTGGCATTTCAGTATTAACAAAAGTTTGATGAAAACGTTTTGGATTTAAATTTGCTCTTGAGAATCAAATCCAACTTTTCTATTGGATTAATATTGTGATTTCAGAAATGCATCATTTTAATTTCTATTTGATCTTCCATTGTTCCTCTGTTACTAACAATTTTGTTTTAATTTTTTCTGCTGAAAATCTGTTTGCAGATTTATTAAATATCTGACAAAAATGTTGAAGCATTGAGAGTGAGGGTTTTTTTTAAGATTTTATTTATTTACTTGACAGAGAGCGAGCACAGCCCCCCCTGTGGGGGGGCTCAATCCCAGGACCCCAAAACCACAACCCGAGCCACAGGCAGACACGCAACTGACTAAGCCACCCAGGCACCCCGAGAGTGAGTCTTTCTAAAGAACACCTGAACTTTCAATTCTTGTACAACTGAAAGATCATGGGGTGCCTGCGTGGCTCAGTTGGGTAAGCGTCTGCCTTTGGCTCAGGTCATGATCCCAGGGTCCTGGGATGGAGCCCTGTATCCGGCTCCCTGCTCAGTGGAGAGTCAGCTTCTCCCTCTCCCTCTGCCCCGCCCCCTGGCTCATGCTCTCACTCTCTTGCTTTTGCTCTATCTCAAATAAGTAAAATCTTAAAAAAAGAAAAAACAACTGAAAGATCATTTCTGAATGCCAACTATCAATCCCTATACTGCTTTCAATTTTTTCAATCAACCTTTCTTGAACTGAAATTAATTTCTGTTATTTGGAGAATAAAATCATATCTCATAAATTAAAGTGACCTATATGGTACCTGACCCCATGAAATCTAACCCCTACAACAGGAATGTTACTTTGCTTCTGCATCAGAATCTGCACATGTCAAGACAGAGATACATACAAATAATTGTATTATCCTCTGTAGTCCCATCTCAAAACATCCCACTTTCCAGCCACAATGTCGTATTCTTCCAGCAACATAACCCTAGAACCTTTACTCTAACAATCCTTCGAACAATCCTTCGAACAATCCTTCAACCTCAAAATGACATAACCACGCTCACCCTGCCCCTAGGTTCTCTTCTTGCTCTTTATGCTGCTTAAATTCCATGGTCAATAATTATAACACTCAATTAATGTGTACCCTCAATTCCTTCCTCCCTCTCACTTCTTCATACTTGTGTAGCTAAATCACAACCCTAGTTAAATCCCAACTATCTGCCTTGACAGCCGACTGTGGTCAAAGGAATACATACCCATGCTGGTTTATTTCACCTTAATTTCATGATTAAAACAGTCCTGTTGTACTGCCCGACAAACATAAGTGTATTTCTCCAGTTCATTCCCTTTTCCTCTCTAGCTGCTGCATACTTTCTCCTCTCCCCTACAATCTCCAACACCTCTTCCCCTAGAGAAGGACCTTAAGGTTTTTGTCTTTGTTTCCTATTCAGAACTATAAGCACTGTTTCTCTTATGCTATTGGAAAACCAGGAGATTTAAATCAACCATATGAAATAATCAACAAGTCTAACTATAATCATTTAATTTGGCCTGAGGACCATTCTGGAATGTATGTGTTTTGTGTGAAGATCCTGGATCCAAACTATAGGTGAATATAAATGTTTTATTATAATCGTTTTAGCATTTGTTTAAAGGGATAATGATGAGCTTGAATACAATTTCTACTTGACAAAGTCCAATAAATGAATTACACTAAAACATGGCAACATCACATAAGGCATGAGGGAAGACCATAGCTAGTAGGAAAAATAAAAATGCCATAGAGTCTGGGGTCACCACTACTAGAAGAGTTTCATGAAACACTAACTCAAAAAGATATGTGTACCCTCATGTTGATCATAGCATTATTTACAATAGCCAAGACATGGAAGCAACCTGAGTGTCCATTAATGAGTGAGTGATAAAGAGAATGTGATATACAATGAAGCATTATTCAGCCATTAAAAAAAAGAAGGAAATCCTCTACCTCAAGAAAGAAGAAAAATCTCAAATAAACAACTCAACTTTACACCTCATAGAACTAGAAAAAGAACAAAGCCCAGAGTTAGTAAAAGGAAGGAAATAACAAAGATCAGAGAGGAAATAAATCAAATAGAGACTAAAAAGACAATAGGAAAGATCAAAAAACCTAAGAGTTGGTTTTTATTTTTTTTTAAGATTTTATTTATTTATTTGAGGGAGAGAGAATGAGAGAGAGCACAAGAGGGAAGAGGGTCAGAGGGAGAAGCAGACTCCCTGCTGAGCAGGGAGTCCGATGTGGGACTCGATCCCGGGACTCCAGGATCATCACCTGAGCCGAAGGCAGTCGCTTAACCAACTGAGCCACCCAGGCGCCCCTAAGAGTTGGTTTTTAAAAAGATAAATAAAATAGACAAAATTTTAGCTAACCTCAATAAGAAAAAAAGAGAGAGTACTCAAATAAAATCAGAAATGAAAGAGAAGTTACAACTGATACCAAAGGAATATACAGGATCATAAGAGACTACTATGAATAATTATACACCAACAAATTAGACAACCTAAAAAAAAATGGATAAATTCTTAGAAACATACAACCCACCAAGACTGAATCATGAAAAAATGGAAAATCTGATCAGACTGATAACTAGTAAGGAGAGTGAATCAGTAAGAAAAAAACGTCTCAACTAACAAAAATCCAAGACCAGATGGCTTCATTGGTAAACTCTACCAAACCTTTAAAGAATAATATCTATCCTTCTCAAACTCTCCCAAAAAATATAAGAGGAAGGAATATTTATAAACTCATTCTATGAGGCCGACATTACTAATACCAAAGCCGGACAAGGATACCACAAGAAAAGAAAATTACAGGTCAATATGCTTGATGAATATAGATACAAAAATCCTCAATGAAATATTAGTAAACTGAATTCAGCAATACATTAAAAAGGATCATATAATATCAAGTGGGATTTATTCCAGGGATGCAAGGATGATTTGACATCTGCAAATTAATCAATGTGATATGCCACATTAACAAAATGAAGGATAAAATCATATGATCATCTCAGTAGATGCAGAAAAGCATTTGACAAAATTCAACATTGATTTATTATAAAAATTGTCAACAAAGTGGGTGTAGAGGGAACATACCTCAACATAATAAAGGCCATATAGGACAAGCCCACAGCTAACATCATACTCAGTGGTGAAAAGCTGAAAGCCTTTCCTCTAAGATTGAGAAACAAAGATGCCCGCTTTTATTTTTATTCCACATAGAGTTAGAAGTCCTATCCACAGCAATTAAGCAAGAAAAAGAAACAAAAGGCATACGAATCAGAAAGGAAGAAGCAAAATTTTTACTATTCGCAGATGACATGGTATTATATTTGGAAAACGCTGAAGACTCCACCAAAAAACTGTTAGAACTAATAAACAAATTCAGTAATTGTTGCAGGATACAAAATCAATATATAAAAATCAGTTGTGTTTCTATATGCTAATAATGAACTATCAGGCAGAGAAATTAAGAAGCCAATCTCATTTACCTGTGCATCAAAAAGAATAAAATGCCTAAGAATAAATTTAACCAAGAAGTGAAAGACCTAGACCCTGAAAATTATAAGATAATGATGAAAGAAATTATAGAAGATACCAATGATTGGAAAGATATTACATGCTCATTTGGAAGTTTGGAAGAACAAATATTGTTAAAATGTCCATACTACCCAAAGCAATCTATAGATTCAATGCAATCTCTATCAAAATTCCAATGGCACTCCTCACAGAACGAGAACAATCCTAAAATTTGTATGGAATGACAAAAAAAAAAAAGAAAGAAAGAAAAAGAAACCAAATAGCCAAAGCCATCTTTGAGAAAGAAGAACAAAGCGAGAGGCATCACACTCCCTGATGTCAAATTAAACTACAAAGCTGTAGTAATCAGAACAGTATGGGACCAGCATAAAAACAGACACATACATCAGTGGAACAGAATAGAGAGGCCAAAAATAAACCCAGACATATGTAGTCAATTAATTTATTACAAAGGAGCCAAGAATATATGGTGGGGTAAGGACAATCTCTTCAATAAGTGGTGTTGGGAAAACCGGACAGCCACATGCAAAAAAATGAAACTAGACCACTATCTCACACCACACACAAAAATTAACTCAAAATGGATTAAAGACTTGAATGTAAGACCTTATGCCATAAAGCTCTTGGAAGAAAACGTAGATAGTAAGCTCCTTGATTTCCGTTTTGGCCATGATTTTTTTGGACTTGACACCAAAAGCAAAGGCACCAAGAGTGAAAATAAACAAGTGGGACTATATCACACTAAAAGCCTTCTGCACAGCAAACGACACCATCAACAAAATGAAAAGTCAACCTGTGGAAATCACACATCCAATAGGGGATTAATATACAAAATATACAAAGAATTCATACAATGCAATACAGAAGCAAACAATCCAATTAAAAAATAGACTGAAGATCTGAATAGACATTTTTTCATGACATACAGATGGCCTACAGGTATATGAAATGGTACTCAGCATCACTAATAATCAGGGAAATGCAAGTCAAAAGCTCAGCGAGATATCACCTCACACCTGTTAGAATGGCTAGTCTCAGAAAGACAGGAGATGACAAATGTTGGCAAGGATGTGGAAAAAAGGGAATCCTGTGCACTCTTGGTGGGAATGAAAGTTAGCACAGCCACTATGGAAAATACTATGGAGTTTCCTCAAAAAGCTAAAAACAGACTACCATATGATCCAAAAATTCTTCCCCTATTTTTCCAAAGAAAATGAAAATCCTAACTTGAAAAGATACACCCTCATGCTCATTGCAGCATTATTTACAGTAGCCAAGACACGGAAACAACGCATGTGTCCATCAATGAATGAATGGGTAAAGAAGAAGAGACAGATAGATAGATAAATAGATAGATATAGATAGATGTAGATATATATATGTATATATATATGTAATGGAATATTCAGCCATAAAAAAGAAGGAAATCTTGCCATTTGCTACAACATGGATGGACCTTGAAAACATTATTCTAGAGTCTACTTCAGTTTGAATCCTACTTTTGCCACTGGTAGATATGTCATCTTAAGCGAATTGCTTAGTCTCTGAGCTTATTTCTTTGTAAAATGAGTCTATAAGACCTATCTTATAGTATTCTGAGGATTAAATGACAGTACCTGGGTAAAAATCCCTAATTTTGCTCAATCAAGTTAAGTTCCTTTCGTTTCTCTTCTCCCACATGAAAATAGGTGAAATGCTATCATTAATGTTTATTTAGCTCCTGTCTCATTCCAAGCAATCTGATAAATCATGAGAGATACTCAGTAACCTTAGAAATAATAACATAGTGCCCTATATCAAGTTCTGAAGATTCTTAACTTCCTGAACCAGCCAACATCAGGTGCACGTCACAGGCTCTTCGATCAGAAAATCCTGAATTCAAATCCCATCTCTGCTACAGACAACTGTAAACTTTTGCAAGTAGCTTAACCTACCTGAGCCTCTGTTTCTTCATCCAAAAGAAAGTGTTGCTATGAGGATTAGGCAGATAATTCATGTAGGACATTCGATACATTGTCTGGTACGCAGCAAATGCTCAGTTAGTATTCACTTTCAACAAGTACTACCTGCTCAGTAAAACAGTATGATTATTATTAACATTATTCTTGCTGTCGCCTTGGGACCCACTATCAAAAACGACATCAAGATGTTAGGAGGGTAGTGAGGTTGCACTGACAAGCTCGGAGAAATCGTGCCACAAGCAGCCCAAGTCACACGTATGGAAAAATCACCACAGCTGTGATGTAAATGCATCTCTTCTCTCCATTATCGAGAAAGTGACACCTTCATTAAGATTATCTATGATTTGATCATTACCATAAAGATTTGGAGGGAGGCTTTTAATATACTGTACTTAATTTAATCATTAATATTATTTATCTCATTTGCAGTTTCTGTAACCTAACAGCTATATTTGCGATAGAGACCTTTGGAATGATTCCCAGGTAATGCCTGCTGCCTCATTAGGCTTTAGTGAGGGGAGTCGTAAAAGACAGGGGTGGCAGACAAAACAAGAAAAGCACCTCTCCCCCATTTCCCTGGGACCCTACTACTTCTGCCCTATATGTGACATCCTCAAATTGTATGTATCAATTATCCCAGGGATACAGCGGGAAGGAATTTTTGAGAATTGTTGCTGCAGCTGGGGTCCCATTTTGTCTCATCCCCTCAGTGGCCACTGTCTTCCCATCAAACACGTCTTTGAACCCCACCTGAAGGGCAGAGTCTAGGCTGCCGCGGGGGGCCTGGGGGGAGACAGTGGCTGCTTGAGTCTGCCCTCCACCACTGGCCATCATTCTGATGCATCCAGAGACAGGTAGGAAAGGCATGTTTCTGGACTCCAGTCTCCTTGGAGAGCAAAGTCTTAACGCTAACACTGAGATTGCAAATGACCTCGCTTCTTTGTCCTGGGCCTGGTTTTTTGTTTTTGTTCTTTTGTAAAATGTTAAACAAAAATGGAAGACAAACGATGAAGTTACTCATGGCCCTACTTTAAATATCGCTGACTCCTTGATGTTTTGTGCCAATGGAAGATTAACAGCGTGAATAACCTACAAATGAGATAAGCCACGCGCTATTTCTAAGTGACTTTGGGAAACATCCATGGCCTTTGACAGTGACTTCTCCTCATTAGATTGCCATGTTTGGTTTAGATGAATATTAAGAACATACGTGCACACTGTCAGAAGGGGGCATTGGTGAATTGGAGAGGAGAGATGACAGTGAAGGAGGATTTCACCTATTTGCCCCAGCTTGTCTCCCAGGAGCTGGATTTCAGCAGCCAGGGGATATGGTGCAGCTTAGGGGTTGTCCCTAGATTAGTGACTGCAGCTTGGTCCCTGTTACACCTAAGCCCCCAAAGTGGGAGCAGAGGCAAAGCGGGGATTAGCTGGTGGTAACCATTTTCCCAGTGAGAAAGCCCTTTCCGTGAGCAAACATCGGCTGAAGATCAGGCTATAGGAGGCCAAGATCTTGGTGCTTCCTTGTCTTCCGGCGTACTCAACCACTTTCCCAAATTTTCCACTGTGTCCTTTGGAGTTGTTACCTTTTAACCAGCAAACTCACTTAAATCCTCAATCGTCCTCTGAGCTCCCACTCTATGTCCCTCCATCCCCCAAGGACACTGCTTCACCTTCAGCCTTCTAGAGTGATAGCTGTTGACTTTCCAATGACCCCCAGGTGCCTCAGAGTGCCATTACCACTTCCGGGCCATTATTTATCCTGGGTCTTCTAAAACAAAAGCAGAAGAAAAAAAAAACTTTTTTAAACACACACCTTTTTTTCCTTACATTTCAAAGTGTACTACTTTAATAACACTTGCTAGTACTCCCTACCCCTCTGGGATTTGCCCCCCCAATCTGGCAAGCCCCCAACTACCTACTTTTTGATTACACCTGAGCAGCCAAGGATTGGTAAAGAAAGTTACACAAAGGGCAGATTAATCACCAACTTCATACAGGTCACCAGGACTATCTGAGAATCTTAGTATCTTTCTCTGGTCAACCAAAATCTCCACTCTCCGTAACTACCTCAGACCTTATCGAATCAGCTTCCTCCTTGGACCATCTTTCCTTAATGAACATCAGAAGAGCTTGTTTCCACCATTACAAAGAACTTAGAAGCCTGCAGGAAGGAACACTCCTGATTCCTGATTCCAAACACACCTACCAACACCTATGTTCATTCTCCCCTTCTTCCATCCTGTTACAATTAAAGACATTTTTTCCTCTTCCTTAAATATAATTCTTCCACAGGTGCTTTGAACCCTCTTTCCACTTTCTAAGGAAACTTCCAAATCAATTATTTCTTCTCTCTTTTATATATTCAAATTTCTCGCTCAACTAGATCCTCCCCATAGGCTTTTAATCACCCCCAAGTTTTTAATTCAAATATATATAAAACCCCAACCTCCTATCCCCCTCTAGTTGCCATTCTCTCCCCCCAACTTTGCGAGACAAACTTCTCAAAAGGTTTGTCTACATAGTCTCCTTTTCTCTATATTCTATCCCTGTTTCTCTAATCCACCCAATCTGTTTTCTGTCTTATTATTCCACCAATTACCTCTCTGCATTGGTTTCTGAATTAGATAAAACAGCTACCTTTCCCAGTCTTGAAGGACTGGCCTCAGATCAGAGATGAACCTTATTCTTCAGCCTGGCCCTAGCTGTTTGTGGTCTCTCAAACCTTTGATTGTCCAAGATGCCTTCTTAGTTCCCAGGACCTCGGTGTCCCAAAGAAGAGGGCCTCAATCAGCACCTAGATGCAGGCTGATTGGAAGCTGGACCCTCAGGCAGCAGGTTTTTTAAAGTATGCAAATAGACCTCTTTCAGTGAAAGACTAGGAGATGGGTGTTTCGGTCTACACCGTCTGCACTAAGTCCTGGGTTTTGTTACAGTCCTGTACTACTAGTGAATGTAGTAAGCTCTGTGGGCCACCAGAGCCAGGCTATAAAAGGTGTGTCCCCTGGACAACAGCCATAGCAGCTGGGGCACAAGACATGTGCACAAGCTCCTTTCAGAGAGATACCAGTGACCTAGGGAGAAGCAGAGGGAGAATTTAAGATGGCACTGGCCACGCTCCCCAGAGTCTCTGGAGAGGATTGCAGTCAGCCCCTCGATTTGTGTTAAATCAGGAGCCTAAACCTCAGGTTGTTGCAGCTTTTAAGATAAGCAAATGGGCCTCTTTCATGGAAAGGCTGGGAGATGGGCATTTGAGTCTGCTGTCTCTGTACTGAGGGGTGGCGGGGGGAGGGAGGCTTAGCCACTGCAAGTCCTCAGGACCCCTTTGTTTGCTATCACCCCGTGCATCTCAGAGACACAAGCCCAGGTGGCTTTCAGAGCTAAGTGTCTGGGGACCTGTTCCTCAGGTGGAACTTTCATAAGTTGGGACACGATGTTGAGTCCAAACTCTTCACTCCAGGGAGAAGCTGGTAGTCGAGAGTTCCCTCCTGGTTGTATGTTGCTGCGCTGGGTGTGGGGTTTATGGTAAGGCTGTGTCCCAGTCTCTTCTACCCATTATGATGTGGGTAAATTTTTTCTCATTCACCCAGTGTGTAGATGTTGCTCAGCTAGTTTCTGGATTTTTTTTGGAGGGAACTGTTCCTTAGGTAGCTGTGGCATGAGTGACTATGGAAGGAGGTGAGTTCAGGAGCCTCCCATGTCACCATCTTGAACTGGAACTGGCCTACACCGAACCTGATAGATATTTGCCAGTCCTCATCTCATTTTATGTTTCGTCGGTGTTGACTTTCCCTTTGACCACCGTATTGCTTTACGGGTTTTCCCAAACTTCTATAGCCACTCTTTCTCAAGTAAAGAGAGCCCTGACCTCCTTTACAAGACAGTACATGTTGATTTCCCTCAGGGCTCAGCCCTGGTCTTGTGAGCTTCTCACTTTGGCAAGCTCATCCATACTCATGGTTTCAGTAAGCATCTATATACACATGACTTCCAAATCATATCTCTGGCCCATCCAGAGCTATACAATCCCACCATCTATTAACCTCTTTTCTCAAAAAACTGGCCAAACTGGACATGCCCCAAAATGATCTCATGATCTTATCACGCACTCCCTTGCCCCATTATTTGTCCCACTCTAAAAGGGATCCATCAGGGTAATTGTATACAGGTGTCATTGCACAGCTCCAAGAGAATCCATTTACATGGGCTATAATATGAACAGTGCCTTCTGGAGATGAACAGTGCAAACCCTGTTTTCCAGAGTTCCTTCTCTTGGGAAAGAGCACACTGAACTGTACGAGCCAAATACCTATGAGTCAAAAATGAAAACAAGAAACCCCCCCCCAAAAAACAAAAAACCTAGGGTTGTGTTCATTTCTCTGTTTCCCCCAGCTCAACCAAACAGTCACTGGCTCCCATTCATTTAATCTCCTGAATTGCCCTTGAATGGATCCACTTCTTACCAACCCCATCACCAGCACGCCAATCCAAGCTACGATTGTCTCAGATGGGAACTACCACAATAGACATCTGACAGATCTCTCCTCATTCATTTCTATTTTCTTCTGGTTCATTTTCTTCACTGGAGCCAAAGTGATCGTCTCAAATGCTAATTTTATAACTTGAAAGCTTTAAGTTTCTTTCCTTAGAATGATAACTCCTCAACATGGCCTACAAGACCTTCCATGATCAGGCCGCCACCTACTTCTCTAATCTTGTCTTGCATTATGTTCCCTGCATAATCTCTACTCTAGACCCACCAAACTTTCAGTCCCCAACCTTCTCCATGCTCTGTCCCATAGCAGGACCTTTGCACATTCTACTTCTTCTATCTGGCAACTCTTCCTTCCCCTCTTTTTTTTTTTTTAAGATTTTATTTATTTATTTGACAGAGAGAGAGAAAGAGCACAAGCAGGGGGAGGAGCAGACAGAGGGAGAGGGACTCGATCCCAGGACCCTGGGATCATGACCTGAGACAAAGGCAGACGCTGAACCAACTGAACCACCCAGGCGCCCCCCCTTCCCCTCTTTATCTACTTAACTTCACCAACTTCATTTCCATTTGATTCTTCAAATTTTAGGATAATTATCTTTTCCCCCCATGGAGGCATATCTTGACCCTATCACCAGGCTAAATCCTGCTATAGTAAACTTTCAATGCATTGTATATCTCTCCTACTTAGTTCTTATCACAAGTGCAATTTTATATTTCTTTTCTCATCATTGATTAACAATTATGTCTCCACTAAAATGTAAACTCTCTAAGAAGGTGGAGACCATGTCTATTATTACTTATCATTGTTTTTCCAGGCACTACCACAATACCTGGCTCATATCAGATGATTTGTCAAGTTAGTTAATTAACTTCCAAGAAGGAAACCATTCACTGGAGCCAGATTAAGCTTGTATCCACATAGGAGGAAGGTCAGAGTAAGAGGATCAGGACCTGGGGAAACTGTAACACTGCAAATAAATAATCATGGCCTAAAAAGGAACCGAAAACTAAAGTCAGATGCCGGGACACCAAACAGAAAGTAGCACAGCATTTGGCTCAAGCAGTAAATCCGCTCTGGTAGGAGGCACTCAGGCAGAGTCCCAGGTGAAGGGGCAGATGTCTGGCACCCAGCTGAAAGTAACATCTACTAAGTGGTGTACACGCACACACGTGCGCGCGCACGCACACACACACACACCTGGTTGACCCTCAGGTACCTCCAATTCAATATGCCCAAAAGTAAACCAACTGTGTTTACATGCCCTCACTAAAGTGCTCTTCCCTCTGAATTTCCTCTCTCAGTGAACGGTGATAGCATCCTCATAGTCACCTCATTCCAAAACTTGGACAACAACCGTTACTCAAACCCCGCATCTCAACAATCACCAAGACCAATCCAGTCTAACTTCCAAATCTGTCTTAGATCGATCTGCTTCTCTCCACTTACTCAGACACTAATTTAATTAAGACCCTCATCATACTTGCATTATTAAAAAACCTCAAAACTGGGGTTTCTTCCTCCGCACTCCTACTTCCCATTCATCCATTCTTCACCCTACAATCAGAATCATCCTTCCAAAATCCACACCCTGTAGCTTAATAAAAGCTGTCTCTGTCACCTCTAACCACCGATCATTCCTCATCTCTACCACTCTGCCTACCACCCGAGCTCTAATCATACTGAACTAGTTCTAGTTCCAGAATGTCTGGGGTGATCTTAAGGTTTTCCCATGCCTCCACAACTTTGCATAGGCATCTCCCTTAGCCTAAAACTCTATGCCCACCTGTTTCTTCCTCTACTTCCAGGCATTTTTATCTGGCGAGCCCATTCTAAAGCTCCAAGTCCTACTCCCATCCAGCTAACTCCGCTACTCAATTCAAAGGTCCCCTCCACTGGAAGGCCTTCTTGTATGTCTGGCCCCCATGAATTTTATATTTCTTTTTCTCATTCTATTGATCACACTGTCTATTCTCTTCCCTAGTCAACCTCTAACACTAAGAGGCAAACATCCTGAGGGTAGATAAGATGTCTTATTAATCTTTGTTTTCTGTCAGTGGCATAGGAATTAGTCATTCAAACATTGTTTGACTAAATAAATTAACGACGAAAGTGAATGATGACTTCTAATGACTTTTTCTTCTTATTTCAGTCCAAGTGGCTACCTGGTTGCTGCCTTCCTATTTGTCCTGATGCTACTGTTCTTCAGTATTCTAGTTTTGAGCTATTTCCATTATATGAGGATTTATAAACAATATCTTTATGAACCAATTAACAGATATGATAGAAAACAAAAGAATAATTAGGAAAAACAAAAGTTTGTTTAGTATTGAGGTATATATACGTAGAGAGTGTATATATATACTTACAAGTGTGTGTGTGACCAAGAAATATTAAGGATAAGCACATAGTATGTATCAACAAATTCAAGCTCTAAAAATGTTCTTAAATTACCCAAGAAAAATATTCTCAGATCTATTGTGTGTTATAAAATTAATTTTAAGGTATTTGCCCTTACCTTAAGGTATTCTATATACTCTTACATGGCTTTTTTAAAAATTAAAATAAAAGAAAACAAAATTTGCCTATTAAAATCATTCTTAAGAATGAAAGTAAATTTTTGTAAGTGTATAAATATGTCAAATTTTTTTTAGCATGGGGGAGGGGCAAAGGGAGAAGGAAGGGAGGAAGCCGACTCCTCGCTGAGCGCAGAGCCTAACGGAGAGTGGAGCCTAACTCGGGGCTAAATCTCACGACCTGTTCGTGCCCTGAGCCGAAATCAAGAGTTGCATTATGTTCCCTGCATAATCACTGAATGAGCCACGCAGGCGCCCCTCAAATGTTATTTTGCATGAAACTTTTCATATGAAATCTTACATAGCTGTAGTTAATTTATGTATAAAAGGCTTAATGTGTCCTAAAAAATCTGTCTTAAATGTATTTCAGAAGTTCTTCCAGTGGTAGATTCACACATGAAATGTACAACTTATTATACTGAAAATGAGAAGCTGATGCTCTAAGCTTTGAAGTTTTAAAATATGATTTTCATGTTCAACATAGGCTTAATTTATCTAAATGTTACCACAGCTTTCAAACAATTAGTATTTGTAACAGAGTTCAATAGAGAAGCAGAACTTGTGAGATGTGTGGTGTGTGTGTGTGTGTGTGTGTGTGTAAAGAGATTTATTTAAAAGAACCGGCTTATGTGATTGTGGAGCCTAGCTAAACAAGTTTGAAATCTATAGCACAAACATCAAGAATAGAAGATCGCAAAAAACAGAAGAGCAAGATGGAACTCCATGGGCACAGATCAAAGCTGTTGTCCATAATTAGAATTTATCTTACTGAAATCAAGAACAAGACGGGGATACCTGCTATTCAACACTCTTTTGAAAGTTCTGACATTACAAGAGGAAAATAAAATGAAATGACCGTTGTAAATACTGGGGGAAAGGAGATAAAAATCCTCTTTTTCAATAATAACATAATATGCCTAGAAAACCTAAAATTAGTAACAAGAATTACTAGATTAAGATAACTTGATAGCTCAATATGAGATAAATATTTAAAAATTAATACCTTTTCTAGGTGTTTGCCTTCCACTCAGGTAATGATCTCAGGATCCTGGGATCAAGCCAAATGGACTCCCTGCTCAGCGGGAAGTCTACTTCTCCCTCTCCCTCTGCCCCTCCCCCCAGCTCATATGCTCTCTCTCTATCAAATAAATAATAAATAAATGAAATACCTATTCTCTATAATGTTCTATAACAGCAATAGAAAAAATAAAAAGTAATCTATTCATTGTAATGACTAATTATATATAATTAAATTTAACATAAAAGGTTTTAGACATACATGAAAAAATCTTTAAAATCTTTATTGAGGGAGATAAGACAAAATCTGATAAAAATAGTTGATAGAAAAAAAAGCAAAACCGCCCAATAGAAATGAGAGCAAAGAATATAGTCATTTTACATAGGACCATACCCAAATAGCCAATAAACATATTTAAAACAACTATTTTTTAGTGTTTACTATGTGCCAGGAATTGTTCTAATAATTTACCTAACCCTCTTCAACAACTCTGTGAGGTGGGAGTATTATTGTCCCAATATAGAGATGAGGAAACTGGTACAAAAAGGGTAAATAATTTTTGTAAGGTCACAGAGTGATAAGAGATGGAGTTGGAATTCACACTCAGGCACACTGGCTCCAAATCAGGTGCTTACCCACCGAGGATTCTGGAGCTCACCAACAGTCAGAAAGATACAAACCAAAGTTGCAGTGAGGTTTGCACTCCTCACCTGAGGGCACAAACGCAGACGGGTAATACTTTGGGAAGTAACGAGGGTCAGGGATGGGAAGGAAATTCTCTTTTTTAAAAACATTTATTTATTTGAGATAGCGTGCGAGTGGGGGAAGGGGCAGAGGGGAAGGGAGAGAGAAAGAATCCCAAGCGGACTCTGCGCTGAGCATGGAGCCCAACGTGGGGCTGATCCCATGACCCTGCGACTGTGACCTGAGCCCAAACCAAGAGTCAGATTCTCAACCGACTGAGCCACCCGGGCGCCCCAGGAAGGAAATTCTCTTGCACTTCAGAAGGAAAAGCGAATTATTTCAGCTTTTTTGGAAAGCAATCCAGTAAGATCTATTAAAAATAAACATGCTCTGGGACCCAGAAATTCCACTCTTAGGAATCTATTTATGGGATGAGATGGGACAGGGAGGATATGTGCTGTATCATTGGTTGTCATGACAAAACTACCAAAAAAGTGCCTTTCAATAGGTGAATAGTTGAACAAATGATTGTACATTGACTGCACAGATCAATCTGTACTAGTTGATCTAAAAGATTTTCCACACGGTTTTGTTAAATGAGAAGACCAAGCTGCAGAGAAGTAGTTACAGGACGATCTTGTCATATAAACGAAAGAAAAGCTCGGTGTATGAGAGCGTGAAGAAACGTATGGAAAGATACATATCATTTTGTTAACATGGTGTGCATGTGCACGCGTGTGTCACCGTGGGACGGGGAGTGGGGATAGACCAAGAGATGCAGAGGGGAAGTTATAAACCAAACCCTTAAAACTGTGAAGAGGGAAACAAGAGGAACAACATGTGAAACTTGCTCCTAATTGTAGAACCAGGTGTCTGCACAAAGACAAACGAAAGGGCCATAGTCACCCAACTTAAAATGATGTAATTCCAGGGGCGCCTGGGTGGCTCAGTCTTTAAGCATCTGCCTTTGGCTCAGGTCGTGATCCCAGGGTCCTGGAATCGAGCCCCACATCGGGCTCCCTGCTCGGTGGGAAGCCTGCTTCTCCCTCTCCCTCTGCCTGCTGATCCCCCTGCTTGTGCATTCTCTCACTCTTTCTCCCTCTGTGTCAAATAAATAAATAAAATCTTTAAAGGAACATGATGTGGGGCGCCTGGGTGGCTCAGTCGGTTGAGCCATCTGCCTTCGGCTCAGGTCATGATCCCGGGGTCCTGGGATCGAGCCCCACATCGGGGCCCCTGCTCAGCAGGGAGCCTGCTTCTCCCTCTCTCTCTGCTGTTCCCCCTGCTTGTGTTCTATCCCTCTCTCTAATAAATAATAAAATCTTAAAAAAATTAAAAATAAATAAAAATAAAAGAACATGATGTAATTTCAGGTGATACTTGCTTTCTTGCTATTGTTTCCCGCCACATTGAACTTAAACTAGTTTTTGAAAGATTTTATTTATTAGAGAGCACGAGAGAGAGAGAGAGAGAGAGAGAGAGAGCACAAGCAGGGGGAGCTTCAGGCAGAGGGAGAAGCAGACTCTCCTCCCCGCTGAGCAGGGAGCCCCACACGGGGCTCAATCTCAGGACCCCAGGATCATGACCTGAGCTGAAGGCAGACACTTACCAACTGAGCCACCCAGGCACCCGAACTTATACTATTTTTATTCATAAAAAAATAAAACTCTTTTCATTGTGAACAAAAGAATGGGAAATGAAGAAGTGCAGACAGCAAGTGGAGACAACTCTTTCAGGGAGTTCCTTTCCTCCTGTGACAGGGAGCAAAGAAATGGAGGCCAACTGGAGGCAGAGAGGGGGCTGGGAAGAGGTTATTAAATACTGATAGGAATAATCCAGTAGCTGGGGGGAATTGATGATCCAGGAGAGAAAGAGGGTACCTGTTGGGTCAAAATCCTTGAGTAGGCAAGACAGCTAAGATCCAGACAGCTAAGAAACTAAGAATGGAACATCTCCCTCACTGTTGCAGGAGGGAAGCCAGAGTTCCGGGGTTCCGATGTAGGTGGGGTGGCAGGAAGATTAGCGGTTTGTGGCAACCTTGAGAGTGCTCCTCACACGCCTCCTGCTGCGAGTGCAGTTGACCCAGGGCGCAGGGCAGCTGCGCTCTGACACCCACCATCACATTTGCACCAAGGCCACACACACCCCCACGCTGCCCCCCTCCGGTGCCTGAGTGCAGTGGGGTGATTTAAGCAGACCAGATCCTGGGGAGACTGGGACTCCTGCCCCGCCTGCCTCAAGGACTCTTCCCAAACTTTTGTATATTGCATGGCTATTGCATGGCTATGGCATGGCCATGTGGGACAACTCCATCCAATCTCTGTCTCTCACCCCCCTCCGATGATTCTCCCAACCTTCCACAACTTCCTATTTCATTTGAGTACTTCCTCTAATAAAATCACTGCATATTTAATCCCATATTGGTGACTGTTTCTCAGAGGACCTGGAGTAACACAGTGGTGACACGAGTGGTCTGAGAAAACAGGTGGTCAGAGGGCATTTGAGACGGATCCAGCACTCCGCAAACAGAGACAGCACCATCCTGGAGGGTATGAGGGGCCCGAGTAGTTTCTGGCTTGAGCTAGTGGTTCAGTTGCTAAAGTTTTCATTGGTAGTGACCTGGGGAAATGTCCTGGTGGAGGGAAGTGCTAGCAGGTGCAATGAATGGAGCAAGTGTTTGAAAAACATGGGCTGACAAAGACAACAAAGTCTGCTGGTTACTGCTAAGTTATGTGGGGTTTTTTTAATATTTGAGAGAGAACGAGCACATGCACAAGCAGGGGCGGGGGGCAGAGGGAGAAGGAGAAGCAGACTCCCCACTGAGCAAGGAGCCCGATGCCCGCTCCATCCCAGGACCCTGGGATCATGACCTGAGCCGCTTCATTGACTGAGCCACCCAGGCACCCTAAATTATGTATTTTTTAAACTTAAATATAGTTGACATATAACATTGTATCGTTGTGTAAGTTTAAGATGTACAATGTGTTGATTTGATACATTTATATGTTGTAATATGATTACCATTGTGGCATTAGTTAACACCTCAATCATGTCACATAATTATCATCCCACTTTTTTGTGATGGCAACAATTAAGATCTAATCTCTCAGCAACTGTGAGGTCCATAATGTGGTATTGTTGACTATAATGGAGATGCTGTGCAATAGCTCTCCAGGCTTCTTTATCTACTACCACCTGCCCCATTCTCCCAGCCCTCTGCCTCTGGTAACTCCCATTCTACTCTCTGTTTTTATGAGTTTGGCTTCTTAGGATTCCACATATAAGTGAGATCATACAG